ATTATATTATACGAAAATTGCATGCAAATTATACCACTGAATAATATATTTCATGGACGTATATTATAATGAACGCGACGTTTAAAAAATTTCAGACAAGCCCTGAGTCAAATCTCTCTCTCATTACTGAAAATCAAAGTTTAACGTATACAGTTTGTATACGTTAAACTTATACAGTTCGTTTCTCGTTCATTTTAGAGTTTTTATATTTAGATTCCTTGTTTATAAAATCATTAAAAAATGTCCTTATAACAATGCAATCATATTTTATTATACACACTTCCATAAACTTTCCTTTCCAGTTTATAAATAGGAGAAATGTCTTATACTGACTTATAACACTTTTCCGCCTACATAACAGTTCATTTATCAATCGATTAATTATCTCTAGTCAATCGGGCAACTTGTCGACAAAGAAAAGGCATGCATATATACGAGATGCGTTCGCAAACACATTTACATAATTAATGCACCTCACGTACCCACTGATGCAACAAGTTTGACATCTTTTAACTTTCTATTCTAACAGCAAACGCGAAAGAAAAGGAATCAAACCGAAGAGAAAATGTAAAGTTGTCTTTACACTTTCAAATGCACATACGTGCAAAATGAAATATATCAATATATAACGACACAGCTGATTCAATAATTTGCACATGGTATAGTTAATTAGCGTCATTAGATCAAATATTAGGATTCTCTACGCTTTAATTTAGAACGGGGAGACATCTCGCGTGTTAAATGGCGAGCACGTGGGCATAAAGGTTGCGTGTTGAGCAACAATCGCAATATTTAAGTTATATAAAATACTAAATTACATTCTAACAATTTAAGAAGCCAGGGTGCCTTTTATTAGGTGACTCAAGAATTAAATTAATTATATTTAAATAATAAATAATCAGGGGGGGGATACGCTCACATAGAGAAACAATGTTCCATATGTGTAGCATCGTCACAAAAGTAATATTTTTCCCACCCGAATATACTTTGTATCAATAACGCCGATCCAATTATCGGGCGTGGCGATCGCAATATGTGTTTGGTTGCAGTTCGTAGGTACCTGTACGGCTAAAAATAACGGTATAAGTACGATGCGATCTCTCGTCGCCGAAACTGGTTCCCCGAATGCCTCGGAGAGGCGATTCGATTAAGAGGCGGTCCGCGCGGCGCATTAAAACCAACCGCGGCTACGGGAAATAATCGTAGAGAGAACGCCTTCATGAATTTTCATATCAAACGAAACGCGGTTCGCGTCCCGCGCGATTCGCGGCGAGGTGACAGGTAAAGCACGTGCGTGCACCTTGGTGACAGGTAATTCACTTCGGTGGAAAAACGGTGAGCGTTCTCGCTCATAGGTATACGACCGAGAGATAGGTGCATTGTGTGCATCTAGCGCTTCGTCCAGACGAGCGACAGGCGCGCGTGCTCGACGTTACGACGCGTGCTACGCACGTGCGTCCGAACCAGTTTCGCTTCGCGACGGCTCCCCCAAGAAGGTTCTCGAGGTGGAGCCTATCGTCGTCTGAGTCGTCTCGTAAATCTCGTTATACAACCCGACGAGATCGCCCGTTCTATTAAACGTTCTTTCGTGTGTCCGATTTCTCGCGTGTCTCACATGAGAGAAGTTTTATTTTAATTTGTACACAACTGCATTTGACAAATTAATGCCGCTCGTGCTTTAAATAGTTTTACATTGTAATTACGGAGTTTAAGTACCTCTGAGATTTTAGCGCCGATTCGGCTGACACATGCAGCAGAGAAAAACGTTTCGTCTGCGTTAATCTCGATCGCGATACGCAGTCGGGCCATGAGCGAAATCGATTTAAATCTCGAGACGCCGCGTGATTTACCGTTCATCTGCACTGAGCGTAAAACAAAAAAAGAATGAACGAAGAAAAAAAACATCAGCAGCAAAATCTCGTCGGAATCACGGGACTAAGAGGCTTGATGAATGCGATATTAACATTAACCACCTGTTCGTGCGGACGTCATTACTCGGCAATAAACACACACGTATAAATACAGGTGTTCACATTTTTTTGCGTGTATCTTTGCCCCGAAATTCAAAGCGCGTTCTACTTTCAAATTTTTCACGCATTCCGTTTCTCTTTTTTTTTTTAATTAAATAAATATTATTTAATTAGCGTCCCGCACGAAATTTGAAACAATTTCTCTCTCGTATCTGGCTTCAACTATAAACTTTCAAGCGCAACTCTGCAATAAATTATATTTATATAAATAAAATATGTATAAATAAGTCATGTTTTACAAATTAAATATAAATATAAGTTACATTAACCTTTAAATGTGCAATTTTTCGTAGCGTTCTGAGTGTTTTTACAAATAAATAATGATTTTCTGGGCCTTTGCATCTAACGAAAGAAGGGTCAGAAAGACCAGAGAAGGCCCTTTACAAATGTATATACAAGTCCACGCGTTTTCAGTTCGAATTTCATAAAGAAGAGTGCACGAAGCATCAGAGCATATATGCAAAGGGTTAAATAAGCTTACTCTATACAAGTTATATGTTACACGCAGAATGTTGAGAAGCAAATATAATTTTCATACATAAACAGAAATTAACCCAGCTCGCAGTTATTTAAATCCGAGATGAAGTCAGGTGTAAAATATTAACCGAAAGGATCTCGAGCCGGCGCACTGGATAACATGTCATGTCGCGACGAGAGTCGTAAATAAAGCAATATCGCGGAGCAGCTAACGGCAGCTGACAGCACGTCATGTGCCGCACGGTAAGGTGCAATTAAACGCACGTTATGAATGAACCAGCGCAATGTCAGGGACGGTATCTTCCGAGGACGAGGCGACGTCGCGCGCATCCCCCGCGAGCTGACAGAACGCGCCTGCAAGTGAGGTTAAGACGTCGTCGCGGGGGAGGAAAGTACGAAGCGAAGTGATCGCCGGAGGGCGAACGACCGGAAGTCCGCGCCGTTTTCACAACGAGTTAATTTCCTCGCGGGAATCGCGTGGGACGAGGATTCTCCGAATCTGCTCCGAGTCGCGCGACGACTGAGGGAGAGAGAGAGAGAGAGAGAGACTCGCGCGCGATTGACGGCGAAACGTGATTTCGCTGGCGACCGGGAACGCGACCGCGATTCGCGATAAAAATAAACACGGCTATGCCGCGGAGGCTATGACAGCGGAAATGCCGCTGTCAGGGTGGCACAAACGCGCGTAGGAGCAGCTCACACGTCTCCTCGCCCGTTCGCCGTGTCTCCCTCCCTCTCTCTCTTTCTCGGAGCAGAGACGTCTGCCGTGCCGTGTCGGTTGTCGCGCGCGACGGGAAACCCGCGCTCGCCGCCGGCGGGCGCGCGACGCGTCTCGGAGATTATGTAACTATTGTTGAACGGCATGTAAATAAAGGCTACTTACCGCTGATCGAGGCGAAAAACGTCAAGATCGCGCGCACACACACACACGTTACACGTTCCGCGGAGACCGCTCGCGGCGCACTGCCGCGCGATGGCGCCCGCGCGTCGTCGCCATCTTGGATCGATCGCCGCCGCGGGCCGCCGCGACCGTCGGCGGTCGACGGCCGATGGCCGGGTGGGACGCGTGAATCCGTGAATTTTCCAACTCGTCCGTGTGCGGAAACAACGATGGAACGATTGTGTGAGAATCTTTTCTATTCTTGCAGATATTCCGTAATTTGCATTTTAAACGAATACGGTAGTATTACACAATAATTGTAATCCGATTAATTCAAAATTCAACCGGCAGAAATTACTGAACAGCGAAATTTCAAACTGTGTAATTCGTCCCTAATCTGTAATCTCCTTTCCCACGTATGAAATAACGAGATAATACGTTTCTATCCATTAACAAAATAGTACCATGTATTAATAAGTTAATTTCCGATTAAGTCAATGCTTGATCGAATTTATCATGGAAATGCAATATAATATTATATATAATAATCATAAAACTTCAATTCAACCGACAGAAATTGCTTACAGCGATATCTCTGACTACATAACTCATCGCAAGCTCTCATTTCTCTCTTCACATGTCAACTAATAAAAGAAAATATATATTGTATATCTATCCATTTACAAAACATTATTATTTAATAATTTAATCGCTGAATTTATCGCGAAAATGCAATACGATAGCGCGATTGATTTTGCAAAGTTAAAGCTAGAACATTTCAGTTTCAATCTTTTTGTCTCTACATTCCCAGCCAACGCAGAATATTCTAATAATATTGTAGCAATAGTATAACATCTGGTTATATTGCAAGAATCTTACACTATTGCTGTTCTGCGTTGCCAGAATTGCAAAGTATACTGTAATCTCGTCTAACGCTAATTCTAATTATTATAGTCACCGACAGTGGAAGTCTCGCGATGCGAAATAAAACGACCCGTTTGATTCTTCGCCATTTAATGTTTTCTTATACATTTAGAACATAAATAACAACAACTAATGCGCGTAACATGTATCACGTCGGTTCATTTGAGAGGGGATTATTGGTGAAACGCAAAATATAGCGAGGTTTCCAAGTTCTGTGTACGATAATAATAAATAAATAGTATAAATCTCGGAACGTATCGGCAAAATGACACTCGCAATTGTCATTTGATTCTTACAAGCTTCTAAGCTTAGAGCGTAAATAGTAACAAACGACGTGCGCACGCAACATTCATATACACGACCATTAAACACAGTTATTTGCGGAAATAATGTATTTGAAATATTATGAGCATCGAGCGAGTAATAGGAATAATATTAAGTGCGTGTACATATACATACACGCGACTGTTGAAAAAGTATAAAAACAAATGAAAATCGCGAAATGCAATTATTAGAGTGACTTGTCAACTGCTTTATCGAGATGCATCCAGACATAAAGGATTTTATATATATGTATATAATTATATAGAATTATATATATAATTATTTGTATATATATATGCATATATACATATATATATATATATATATATATATATATATATGTATGTATAATTATATATATTGTATATATAATGTATACAATTATATGTTAATAATATATATATGTATATATAAATTATGTAACCTGATTTTATCTATCATCTCATCACCCGTTTCTATTATTTAAATGATATTTAGAGTAGCATAAGTTCTTAAATATACATTTCCTTTACATACAATAATTCTCATCCGAGTATCATTTATCGGTACTAAATATTCAATCATTTCTTATAAATAGTACAGAGAACATTATTTTACGAAGTAAAATACTTAAGAGTCATAATTGTATATGGATATCTCTATTATATCGTGCATGTGACGTACAATCCAAACTCGCTTCTTGATTCGCATAAGAAAGTTTGATACACAAGCTTACACGTATTTCTGTCTACCGTCAATAGCTAAATTACTAAATTTACGGAGATAGAAACGGCTTATTCATTACTTAACAGGTATATCCTCTCGCGTCGTAGACTTATCACCGTATTAAAGGGATGCGTTTCATTCTAATATCCTACTGTAATTTGCGTCAATTCCAAATTTTATGAAAAATCACAAAACAGCACTGGAAGCTTAGAACGTGTGCGCGTTGCGGCAAATGCCGCAACCTAGAGCGAACTCTTCTCCAGTCGGTGGATGTTTCACATGCAGTGGACATTCGTCCCCTTCCAGTTGCTTAGCCTTGGGACCTTGGAAAGAAAAAATCAGTGTTATACGTTTGGAAAATAATTATCGTTATGAGAATCAGAAAAGCGTATTTTACGTACCAGCGGGACACATAGGCAGCTCACTCTTCGGAATAGTGGTAACACGCTGAAAGTCATCGTGGCAGGGCTTGCAGAAGTGCGTGGTTCCGAAGCAGAAGAATACCGCCACTGAACAGCAATATCGGCATTTATACTCGAGGAAGTCTGCCCCGTGTTTCGGGCACATCTGTGCCCTTGCCACGTCGCTACAACCGCCGCATACTAGTTCGGCAGGGTCGAACGATTCTCCACCTAACTGTGCGTCGCAGCGTGCCTCGCCACCGTAGTAAGCCTTCTGACACTTGTAGCACACGTAATACGCATACCGTTCCATCGCGTAAGCAGCGGGGTCTTGATAACGACCGCCAGGTGCGAAAGCTCCTTCGGCCCTGAGGAAAAACGAAATAATTTCAATACACTTATATATCACGTCGATCTTATGATGTCAAGTATTGATGAGAAGATATTACTTGTGCAAGCCTTCGTATTCCAAGCGCATTAACGCCTTCCTTCGTACGTCTTCGTAGAGCTCCTTCACAGTTGCCAATTGTTCGGACAATGTCGGATGATCCATCGGTATTTTGCAGATTGGACACAGAGAGAAGCCGAATGTGATTCGTGGTCCCACCCAACGCTTCATCAGGACGTGTCGGCAACAATGCAGATGGAACACGTGGCCGCACTGCAACTGAATCGCCGGTGCGCAAGACAGGGCCTCGGTGAAGCAAATCATGCACATGTCATCGGCGTCCTGTTTCAAATCGGTCCCTGGTAAGCAACGATGGAGACAAGGCAGGCAAGTTCTCTCATTTCTAACACCCCCACAAATGTGACCGCAAGGGTGGACCATGTTACACGCGTTTTTCGCGTGTTCCTGGCAATCGTGATCGGCGCAAATGTTGCCTATTGCTAGTAACCCCGTGTTTCCCGTGGTACCGCAAAATCGACAAATACCAGTAGTGGCGCCAACCGGCTTCCTGGGCGCGCCGTCGCGAAATTCTATCAGTGCCTTCAGCGTCCTGCTATCTGCCAAAGCCAAGATCCAGAAGAGCTTCGTTCGTCCACAACCTTCGTGGAGATCCACCCGTATCGCTTCTTCTTCCTCCTTACACACTTGTCTGAGATGCGTTCTCGTTCTTCTGTGAAGGTGTAGAATTCTATCGCATTCCGCGCACAAATTACCGCAGACGTTACATTGAATAATGGCCGTGGTTTCGTCATCATCGTGATTACTACATGTTGGCTATAAAAAAAAAAACAAAGTTAGTTACTCTTACACTGTATACGTAGTGAAAATGCAATGATAATTTTACCCGAGGTGGCAGTGGCTGTCCTTCAGAACCGCTCCATTGACCAGACGACAATCTTTCTACGTGTTCCGAATTCAAAACGCACAGAGAAGCGAGTGCTAACCATAACGTCGGAGATCGAAGGCATTCAGTAGGATCGCGACTTTTCTCGTCCAGTCTAGTTAAGTTTAGGATATTTTCCGCTATAGCCGCTTTCGTTACAGATGCCCATTCGTCCGATAACTTACCCTAATATAAAGAAGAAGACATTAGTTTAGGTATTACAAAACGAACCAATCGTGATACTCACCGATGCCATGTCCTTCAAAAGTTGAATTATCACTTCGGCCAGCTTACGCGTCATGCAGCCCCGTAACCACCATCTCGTTCCAACATAACTTTTCGGATGAATGCTGGTAGCTAACGAAACAGTTTGAAGCGCTTTTCCGTTGTTTTCCTTTCCTTTTACTTTGACTTGCACAGTTAATGCTTTCGCAATACAGCTTAAAAATACATCGAGAATCCCGGCGGAATGTTCGTCGAATTCCGAAGCATGAGTAAAACCGCTATTCGCTGCGGATACGATGCTGAAATCAGTAGGCGGCAGTCGTTCGACGTTTATAACGTTCGCTAGTGTTTCAGGTTTAATTTCGGGCAATATTCGTCGTAAGAGAGATGTTACCTGAAAAATATAAAACAATATATTGTGGCGAAAATTATTTCAAACCTCACATTTAATTTTACAACGCTAATAAAACATACTTGACGTTGCACCCTTGCCGATCCGGTGTGCAATAAGCTCAGTAAATCTTTTAATAACCCAGTCTGATGCGATAAGTAATATTGTCCTACAGAACTACCGCTTAGAGCAAGAACCATAGAAAGCATTTCGAAGCAATAAGTATCGGCCGCTTTTGGAAGATCACTATTGTCGCTCAACACGCTATTAGCGGGCGTCGGCGAACACAAAAGTGTCTCCCATTCTTCTCTCAAGCGTATAGTCTCCTTTCTAATCGCTTGCACGATATGAGTACACACTTGTTTCTGCAAATGTGTTAAATTGCTTCTGCTGAACAATATTCCAACCATATGCTCCCGCAGATCGTTACTGTCCTCCAAATCCTCATTAGCACCTTCCGTCGGTTCCATCTGTTGTTGCTTTTCTCCTTGTATAAGTTTACCAAACACCTGTAATACGCAACGCGACATTGCAGAAAATGTTACAATGAAAGGTAAATTACGAGAAATCATGTCTACTCACCTGAGATGTGATTAGTCGAAACACCTTCAAAGTTTCTGCCTCGCAATTTCTTTGTTGAATAGTCTGTGCGCTTAGCTGTTTTCCTACTTTCAGAGATCCTCCTTCAATCTCGCCCAGCATTCTGATTTGACGAACTCTCAGAGAGTTATCTGGGCCCTTTAGTTCCATACCCACAACTATATGGCGTTGATCTGTGAAAAAAATATTACAATCCTAAGAAAATTATATTATTGCATACTGCATATAGAGGGACAGAATTATCATTCTTGAAAGATACATTTTCTTTGAATATGTTCATGTTTGAACAATGTTCATCTTATTATATTAATAATTATAATTTTTTTATATTACCAGTGATGGGGCAATTAATCCAACCAGCTGATCTACTTTCGATCTCTACAGATCTTAATTTTATCATCTCGTCGGGGTTGACACCAGACAGGAAAGTTACGCTGGATACTTTATGCTTGTGAATAAATTTCAAATTAGACAAATATTATTTGACAAAAGCACGTCAGTTTTATGGGGGAAAAAAAGGACTTACGGTTAAATCGCGGCAATTATCGATGTGTACATACAACATTCTGGGTAAAGAGTGAGCGCCACAGAGAATTGTAATCACTTTAGTTTTATTACGATCTTCGTCTCCAGATTCCCAAAATGTTTCTGTTGAATTGTCTGTTAGGCTACCAATCATGGCTTGTCTACTAGAGGCTTTGATCTCAACGCTGGACGTTAAGTCTTTCAAAGCTTCTACCCAGCTGCTTATCTGTTGTGAAACTGTCGACTGATGGCTCTCGTGCATACTCATCGTAACATCTTCTTCTTCTTCGGATCGTGAGAGAATTTTACTGATGTTGCTAAATACGTGACTTCTATGTAGAAACATATGATCTGCTGGCGTAAATCGAATACCCCAACATCGAATCGCAGCTTGTTGTAACGGAGATCCTATAAATTAATATTATTATAGTATATTTATTAAATATCTTTTTTAATTTGCTGAAGCAACTTACCAAGTGGTGGTAATAGCATTAAATCCGCAATTGTTTGCAGTAAAGTATGAAACACAATAGGTAGCGGATGTACGGACTCTCCGGCTATTACTAAATCACTTAGAGGATGCTCGCTGACACCAATCATATCCTACAAATTATATGTATATTAGTATATTATAATATTAAATATTATATTCGTTTACATTAACAAATAAATTCTTATTAAAAATATATCACTTACGTGATCTTCCTTCTTCTCCGTTCGGTTATCATCATCGTTCGCATCTGTACTGTCAGAAGGAACAACCGGTGTAAGAGACGAGACGAACCACCAAAGTAAGTCGTGCAAACAAATTGGTTGCGTCACGCTTCTCAAAAGCCAATTTAACGCCTGCATCGCGTAAACTCGACAGGCGGCACGGCGCAACGCTTGCTTCATCGCAAGCTGCAGATGTTGCAAGTTGTGCTGTTGAAGAACGAACAACATTACAGGTCTCATGAGAATCTCTATCCGATCGTTACTCGCTACTTCGGTTTGACTAGTGGATACTATAGCAGATTGATCCATTGATGGCACTAGTTTCTGCAGTGCAGCGGATGGATAACATAGAAGCGAAGAACCCGCCTCTGAAAAGTAACAAAATACATTATCAATATTTATTCAGGAAAAAATTATCTCCGGCTTATTTGTAATTATCATTTAAAGTAAAATCGTACCGTTATTCATTTCGCTACTGCTGTTATTTCGTTTCCTCATCATAACGACTCTACCATCGTTACTATTTCTGGCCCAAGGTGCACCGGTAGACATAGATACCGATCTATGAAACGTGCTACGATTTTTGCCGCTTTCATTATCACTATCACTCGTTGGGTATTCTGATAATGGCTGCAAGTAAGACGATGATGATTAAAGCAATGCTGATTATTATAATTAGAAAAAAAGAAGAATATTTCTTTACCCTGCCGTTTGTATTGTTAAACGTGCCGCTGTTTCCTTCATAATTATTTTGTTGTCCATTTTCACGTCTCAGAGTTTCTTCGTAATACCTTTCGTCGTGACTCTGCGAGTGATGAACACCTAAGGCTTGCAAACATTGAAATGGTCCAGTTGGCGGAAATGGTCCTGTTGCCTCGGGAGGACTATAATTTTCAGCTACGGACGATAAAGTCTGTGACGGTCGTCTCTGTTGTTTAGGGATATTAAAGCCAGAAGCGCTAGCCAGATCCAACAGAAACATCGCATTGTTCTTCATAATTATGTGAGTTTCGTTTCCGCCGGGACTATTAATCGGAGATAAGACTTTGCTCGTGCCGTTCTTTCTTTTGGAAATCCCGCTGACAAATTTCTTCGCAAACTTACTCTTTCTAGCTTTCAGATATTTATCTCTACACGTGTCACAGATTAGATACCACGAGCTACCACCGACCCCGCCATCGCCGCAATTGCCTGCCCACCCCACGCAATAATTTCCGCCACTGTTGTATCCTTTTCCGCCTGCGTGCCAGCCGCAGCCTGGATGCATCATCTTCATATGATAAGTGACTGGATGTGGGAACATCAAGCCACAAAGTTCACAGATAGTCTCGCGTTCAATTCCCGCTAAAACCTCAGACGCGTTTGCTCTGCCGATAGGCTTCCATTCCTTCTTCTTCCGGCTGCCTTTCTTCTCACGTTCTTTCACTTTCTCCTCTCTAGGACGTTTCTCCGGGATCGGTCGTTTCGCCAGCTTTATCGTTTGTATCTGCGATATGGGACTGGGCAGAATTGATTGTTGTTCGATGGCTTGCAGGCAATTGGTACTGAGTTCTTCCCATAGAAAAACTAGGCTCTTTAACGCGGGTGGTAGTACTGCGACCGTATGAAATTCAGGCAGGGAACTAAGCTTGCCCGTACTCGCCTGAATTTCTTCTTTGATCGTAATCTCCTGCTTTTTCCTACTCCTATTGGCATTAGCATTTGCGGCTGAACGCGTGAGAGTCTCCAACGTGCTGGGCTGAATGTGCAAATAATTCCCGGCGTTCGTCACCTCGACGGAGTGTCTCTGACGTGCTTTTTGCTCCTGTTGCTGTTTATCGCTGGATTGCACCATGGTTTGCCTGGTTACGACCAGTGCACCCTGTTTCGGTAAACTAGGATGAAACTTAAGGAAACTAGCGCAAGCCATGGCATCGTGTACAATTCCCTCGTGCCACAAAAACGCAGCGAAAACAGCTCTCAGGCACTCCGCCACGGAAGGACTGATCGCTTCTTTCACCTTGTCTTTACATAAATTTAGAGTACGATTAGGACTAGGACTCTGTTGAGCGTTGGCGGGTGACATGGCACGTTTTGCTCTCGTTTTCACGGCTTTCATGTGATCTCTCCTGTTCATTTTCGGCGAATGTCGCTCGTCCTTTACTCCGGATGAACCGATGTTGAAATGACCCTTCATAGCCGTCGTAGCGCTCTCGGGGCTTGTCTGCGTTTGCGCTTGAGATACCTTGCGCGGACTTTCTTGCGAATCCTTTAAGAAACAATATACTTCTCAATTCTTTATATAATTCTATAGACGCTATTATATATGAAAGTCTTCTCACGTGTCTTTTCTATCGAGAAAGATAAGCGTTTAAGCTTATCGGAAAGAAGGCTTTTACGCTACATTACTTACAGCACATTCCTTCTTGGGAGTGTCGGGCGGACTAGCTATGCTGCCCTCAGATCTCATATGTAAAGAACTGCAACTTGGACTCGGTGATAGATCACGTGTATTGGCAGTAGTGCTAATACCGCTCGGTGACTGTGATGGATCTCTCGTCAGGCTGCTAACCAAGGCACTTGTATCGCTTTGCGTTGAGCCGCGACGTTGCGACGTTATGCTGTCAACCATCCCTCCTGACACTTTAAAAGAAAAACAACAATAATGTATTAACACAAGTTGCACAATTTTCGGAAGATACATATTTCGGATATTTAATTCAGATGGCAAGGATATCGGTTTCTCACCTTACTGGTAGTGACAGAGCAAGACATTTACAACATTCGCTTATTACAATTCATTCAAAGAGTTTAAATCGTGCAGACTCTTCGTGCGAACGTGTTGAAAATTAAAAGTTTCAAAGGATATGTAATATGTATCTTGATATGTATTAAAGTGTAAAAATAATAGCAATATGGAATCTTACAGCTTGTACTATAACTGTTTGTAGTATAAATCTCAATGTATTGTAAACTGGGATAGGGTGAATTAGCGTGTATTAGTGATCTTACCTAACGGGGAGAGGCCGACACTTCGGGGGGAGCCGCAGAGTACAGGGCTGCTACTCATACTCTCTCCCCCTCCTATCGCGCTTCTCCCACCTAATAATTTTGATTAATTGTAGTATATTTATGTTGTGTCGAGTATATCTTAATCGCAAAGCTTTATCACATTCTCGGATTGCGCAATAAAGAGTTTACTTTGTGCGTATCAGTCGTATCATGCGTGTGCAAAGAACGAAACGATGTCGCGTGCCATTCCGATTACAACTACGTTATCGCGCATGCATAATACGATATCGTAATATTCACTGATCAATACGAAGTGAATTCTATCGTGCCATCAATCCTATATGTAAAGTAAATGGTGATAATTACAAGAAATCTCCGAAGATACAGAAATTGTGCACTATTCGATATCTTACAACTCCAGTACGGTAATTCAATAGGATAGCAGCGAGTACCTGGTGCGTTAACAGCAGGAGGGAAGAGGCAATTGCCAGAAACAGCTGGCTGTCGACTGGACCCAGCTAAGATCAACATGACTAATTTGTTTTAACTAATCCATATAGAGCGTATTCAATATCATAGTTAATATAATTGTCTAAAATTGTTCTATTATCTATCGTTTATTTTATTATAATATTACTATATCAAATATTATGTCTTTATTCTAATACACAATAGAGAAAAAATACGTGAATACATAAAATATTATCTTACAAGTATCAGCATCCGTTCTCACAGCTTCTGAAATAATTTCATTTTCAAAGCGATTGTAATGCAAAATTATACAAAAGTACACACACGGACGTATAATGTTAGAAATGAGTTATAGAATTAAATCAGAGAGAGTTTGATAGAGAAATGATGATCACACGTATTCAACGCAATGCAAGTAACACATACGTACCGGGTATTGGGACTGGACTGGAAGAAGGGCTGTGAAATCTTGGTGACCCACCTTGGGGATTCTTTGGCGAAGAACTTCTTGACATTCGCCGCGGAGTTTCTGGCGGTGTCGCTCCATTGCCATTTGCGCGGCTCTCTCCCATCGCTTTTACCAACTCCTTCACAGATACGCCCATGAATTCAGAAAAATCTCTGAAAATCATTAATAATACATGCTAAGATGGATACTTGTATATTAATAAGAAATTTTTAATTTAAAAAATTTAAGAATTTGCACAATTTACGATAAGATGAAGCAATATGACTTAACTTTTATGCACGAAAAAATCGATAATCTCGAAGTTCATGTATGAAACTCAAAAGAAATTTTTAAAATTAAAAAAAAAATTGCATAAATAAATCCTTTAACTTAAAAAAATTGCACTCCATTGAAGATTGAAATATTAAAAACTTTTCAGAAGAATACACATGCGAATAAATACCTGCCCGGAGAACTTCTTTTCTCTCTATGACATTTGTCATCCCCTCTCAGCCATTTTTGAAGAGCGCTAAATTTTCCTCCGCCACCTTCTCTTTCCCGTTCCTTCGCTACTCTTTCCTTGGAGTGAGGTTTCGGGAACTTTGGCGTGCCATCAGCTTTTTCTGGTGTGAAGCGTTCGCTCCCTAAAACACATACATTTAACAAATGTTTGAATGCAACAAGTTATTTAATTGGATTTCTTTTTACGATGATATACCTGGGGAGTCATGTTGATTGTACGAGCCAAAAACAAATGGGTTTGTGTTGCAACCATCAATAGATTCCGCCGTATCTGGTGTGTAATTTTGCGTGGTAAAGTTGAAGCCTTCATGACTAACGGAAGGTACGGAAAAATCGAAACCTTTATTACTTGGTGATAGGGCCGGGTCCGGTATCATCGGCTTCTTCTCAATCGGATCGTTTTCTAACTCCTGCTCGAGTTTCATATAAATTACGCTGGTCTGTTTATTAATCGCAAGCGACCATGCCTCTACGCCTCGACCCTTATCGAAGCAATATTTCGCCACTGAATCATCATCGATGCGCACCCAAGTTCCTTCGTGATTTACGCACTGTAAGAGATGAATCACGAAGTGCCATATAAAAGGAGAGATGCGGGTACTTAATAGTAATAGATCAACTTACATATTCTTGAACTGTCACGGTATTTCCAAGCGCTAACATTCCGATCGGCGCGCCTTTCAAGCTCGGTTTGCTTCTAATGTTGTGTCCGGAAGCCCCACATTTCACGACTATCATACTTCTTCCGGCGTCGAAAGTCACCGTTTTTCTCTTACTGCAAGCATTAAATTAGGAAATGGTCGAAAATGGATGACAAATGAGACATTTCTTACGTACTCATCGCTAGTGTCAGGACGTTTCCGCAAAATAGTCTCCTTGATGACTTGATCCAAAATGGATTTTGGTTCCTCCACAGGGAGAAGCAGAGTTTTTCCTAAATGTTGATTGTATTGTAAGCACCAGGCCTCAAGATGACTACTATTACAGTATTCCTTGATCGTCTCTGCGTTTAATCGCAACCAGACACCATCGTCATTATGAATCTAGCCAGACGAAAGCAGAAAGAATTTATTATTTTAAACACTTGAACATTTAATTCGTCTTAAAAATGTGTAGAGGAATAATTTAAAAAGAAATTGTACAAGATATAAGGTTATATAAAATATTTTTTCCGATTTTGCTTCCCAATATCTTCGATTTTAACGAAAATGTTTTATTTGTTTGTCTTTAGAGCAAGCTTTAAAATAAATTCAATATTAAAGCGTCAGTAATTAAAGCTTGTTAATGGTATTACCTCATCAACGAAAGCTATAGTGCCGTTAACCGAGACGAATCCGATCTGTTCGCTTTGCAGCGACGGATGGGCTCGTATTCTCAAGCCGGCGCTGTTCTTCGCCACGAATTTTCTGAGTCTGCTCGGCTGAAGCTGAGGCTTTTTAACAATGTTCTGAGTGGGTGGTTGCATGCCTTGCGGAGGTTCCTTCACCTCGACTTTGTAATTCTAAATAAAGCGGAATTGGATTAGTCTACCTAAAGCCTATTTTAATTTCAAAAGCTTATTTCCGACTACAAAAGCAGAAATTAGAATTAAATTCCGTCTAGCCCTAACGAGTATTCTCGAGAGATAAATGATCTACTACGCACATCCTCCATGTTGTAACCATCCACCGTAATCATCAGCGAGTACCATCCGACGGAGGATGGGGTCCACGTAGCGCTGTAACTTCCATCGCCGTTAGGCCTGACCAGCATACTCTCGCTCGACCTCTTCACGGCGGGTGACATGAATCTCAGTTCCTCGAACGAGTAATTCTGATAGGCCTTCATGATGGTAATGGCGTAGAAGCACATTTTGTTGTTGATGGTCACCTCGTACGGAACGTCCAAGGATGGTTGCGGGTGACCGCCAAATGTCATGGGATCCGGTTGGGAGACACGACGGATCTTTCTACTCTGGTCGGAGTCCGTGATATCCGTCTTGTCGATCGGCACCGCTTTGACTTCGATCTGTAAAGAGATGATTTGCGTTCTCGACATATATCTTAGAACTTCACCCGATGCCGCGTGCTTCGCATCGCGATATCCGAGAAGGAGAAATACCTTCAATCCGGGCACGTGCACCACTTCGCCGTATTGATCTCTCGTGAGTACGGTGACGATGGCTGGCCATCCGCATCTCATTTCTTCTCGTGAATATAACGCCTCGCATTGAGTGGGATCCACGAAGCTGTCCGGTTGCAGCCATCGCGCGAGTCTGCCGCCGCTGGTGCCGGCCGAGCAGGAGACAAAATCGCGCAGGAATAGACGTTCGTTCGAGTGACAACTGAAAATAGCACGGGTGCGGAATTTTAGAAAGATTGAAAAGACGTCCCCTTTCTCTCGCTCTCATAAAAATTAATTTTTTATATCGCTAGATCTATATATACAGCCACAACTGTGTTTAACTCTAATTAATTATGTCCTTCTTTTCGTATTGCAACTCGCAATTTATCATGCACGTACACATTTATGAACTTCGGTCGCTCAATATAAAATCTATAAGTATATATAACAATACAAAAGTCTTTTATTCTGAATATACGAAATGTACAAGTTGCACGTCAACTTAATCGTGTATTTTGGTTAAGCAGTATGACATAAAATTACGTACAAGAATAGTGAGTAGAGAATTTCTGCTAAAACTTAGTCTTTCGTTAGTCACATTAGAAGGATAAAATAGACTACAACGTCGGGAATTTCAGACCATCGTAATGAAATGTATCGGAATATAAAACATCACGAGAGTTCGCGAGGATTCATCTTTATTACGAAATCTCGGTCTGAACCCATCACGAATGCAAGGGACGGCAGCGAGTACGGTTCGTTAAAACGAGTTTGAGAATCGCGATGCCCCTAATTGGTCGGTGCCTCATATCGCGGATCCCGTCCGGGTGGATCGCGGAATAGAGGACGATGCTCCTCCGTCAGTCAGACAATCGTCGCTTCCCCATCGTTCGGACTCGTCGGGCTCATCCCTAATAAGGCGCAATCACGCCGTTCTCCTCTCCACGAGTCCACGTCGACGTGATCCGCGCCTCGCTACCTATGTACAGCGGAGTCGACCCCGTGTTTTTACCGCGTCGCGAGAACCGGTATTCTGGGAAAATCACGCGCGCGAAAGGTCTCGCGAGAGTTCAGTCATTACGGTATCGCCGCGTGAAAAATAAGGGTCTAATTAAAATTAACGGCGAACGGGAAACCTCGACATTTTCTATGACGACTTCTCCGCCGTTGATGAATCTACGATGCGTCGAACGCAATAAGCAAAAACTTAATTAAACTCCGGTATGACGAGCATGTGTAACTCCTTTCAGACCTGTATTATTTTTTATGAAAAGAAATCTGAACGTACGACGAATCATCACTGCGCGATTGAAATGATTCCTGGAGTTCTTAAAGAACTTTCGTCGAGGTAAATAAAATGGAGAAGAGTATGAGATTCATGTTTATGTTGCCCTTCTTGAACTACATTCGAGGTTGTTTTATTTCATTTAAACTGATTTGTATGATCAATTTTGGGACCGTTCCAACAGACCTCACCCCCAGAGTCAGAAGGCGTTAAACTCCGATAATACCCCGAGTCACGACGACGACCTCAGGACTTCGGGTGGTTTGCGGTATCAAACCATATAACGAATGTAATTTTCACGCAGTCAGATATAAACGTCGCGGAAGCAGGGCGCTTTCGCCATCGATCATAGTCACGATGAAAAAGATGAACGAGCGGCACGCCAAAGATAATAGACGCCCAGAGGAGGACGAGCCGACATAATGCGCGAGAGATCGCAGCCCCGAGGACCGGGAGGAGATCGGGAGCGTGCGGCTTTAAAGATCGGTATCCACGTGACGTACAGCCGGTACGTGACCATTTCGGAAATGGGCACTTCGCGGACGACGTCGCCGCCGCTGCCGCGTCGCCGCGTTCCTCCCGGCCTGGAGGAGTAGCGCGTTATGAATGAATGGACGACGTCGGACGTGTACGCGGGGCCCGGAGGAAACACGCGCAATTTCTCATGGGAAATTAAATGGTCGGGTTTCCGCTCATAAACCGAAAAGCTACGACGGTAGCAGGGCGTTTTAGGGAAACGCTATCTGCTGCCACGAAGAGCGACGAGGGCGACGGACAGCCGTCCTCCGGACCAGGCTGTCTCCGTTTTTACGGGTATACCTTCTTCCCCCGCGTCGCGTATTTCCGGCGACGATGGCTCGCGCCCGCTTTTTGTCGCCTGCAACGTATCTTCCCTCGCTCTCGACAAGAAAAGCGTAATCGCGGAGATTACCGGCGCGGGGCTTAACGGGATCGCGGAAAAATCACGAACGCCCGCACAAAAATCCGCGCGATATTCGTACTTGTGGGATAACAGTTCTCTCTCGATTTCACTTGCGGAACTTATACGTAAGAAGATAAAGTTTCGGAATTTTTAGGAAACTTTGCGAAAGTTCACGTATTAGGGTCGGAAAGAGTTCTCCGGTAACTTCGAAATCCCTTAGACAGTAAGTTTGATAACATTCCAAAAATAGAAATTCTATTTCCGTCCAATACCGTGCGTTGCATGTATGGATACTGAAAGGAAACGTGTATTTTCACTAATAAAAAATGTAATGGTTAATTTGAATAATATTATCTTTTAATGTTAATTTGGATAATTTTATCTTCAATTGATTTGGATAATATTATTTTAATGTTTTCAGCCATTAAATATTTTCAAGATTTCGTAATGCGATTGCAAACTTCGATAAATACTCTTTACGTTTAGCAAGTAGATTTACGGTACAACATAAAACAATCATATTCATGATCTTTATAACAGCGGCACCGATTGGACTTCATTGACCAGGATTACGAGCCCTGAACACGGTTTACGCAATTAACATCCGTGACGAACGTGGGTCATCAACGTGGCCGAGGAACGTAAGTTGGTCAAGGTCGTCTTCGCAGGTGCGCGCCGACGGTGTGGGCCAACGCGCTCAAAAAATCGACGACCGCGCTCTCGCGGTCGATTCTCCTGACGAACATAGCGAACCGATCGGACCCCGAAGAGGGCACCGACGTCCGTCCCGTATTCTCGAGGCCCGATGACGAGTCCTGGCGTTTATCTCGCCGAAGGCCGAAGAGGGAGAACGCGCGGCGAGAGCTGAAGCGAGCGAGTGGCAAGGCGAGTCGAGCCACATGGATCTATGGTGGGGAGCAGACACCGATCGTGCATGCCACCGGCTACAACAGTTTAAAAGCAACCTCCGTGATGATCGCGTCAGCTGGCCTCTAAATCGTCCCACCGCTTCTTCCTTTTCCTCGTCTTCTTCGGCAACGAGCCGCCCGCGCGCGTATCGAGACAGTCCGCACGAGGCAGGCCGCACGAGATAGTCGAGGCCCAGCAGTTTCTTCCACGCAGCCGTGGGATGTCGATCGTTACGGATCGATAAATAGAGGAGATGAGCCTCCCTCTCCGCCCGGACGCGGAATCGATCGATGGAGGAAGTTGCAAGTGGATGAAGAATACAAAGTGGGTGATACTCGCAGGCGCGGTGTCTTCCGATCGATCGATGGAGTGAATCGATAAAAGGGTTTCCGCTCCGCGCGAGTGCGCCGTTTCTTCAAACCGCGCGAGTGAATCGGATCGTTATGAGAGAGGCGAGGGATCGACGCTGATCGGCTGGTGATGATCTAACCGCCTCGATCGGGGGAGATCGAGTCGCAATGAGCGTCAAGCGAAGAGTGTTCAGCGCCCTGGACGGGCTTGTTAAATGTGATCGTGCGATCGTATGCTCGGTGTTCCTATGGCATCTCGCGTTCCTGCTGTGCATCGAGGCCGCCAAGCCGGGGATATGCGCTATGAACGGCTGTAACTGCACCGTCATGGCGCATACCTGGATTAACATCAAATGCGTCTTCTCCAAGGAACAGGTGAATGCGTGAGCATGTTCTAACTCGTTACTTCGCTGCCGGAGCGATAATTTTGCGTTCGTACACACTAGAAATATCGAAGCGACGGCGAGGCGTCGATCATACCGAGATTATATACCGTAGGTTCTTTCTTTCTTATCACGCTCCTTTGAAGACAGATAATTTACGAGCTTAACGGCAGCATAAGATTCCTGCCAAGTATAAATATATCTGTTCTATATCAGTGCATTCCTAAGATAATAAAGTTAAAAAATAAAAGTACCAATTCTCCATTTTTATTCTTATCGGGTTAGAAAAGTATTATTTGTTAGTATCGTGAGACATCAACGATCGCCGTCGAAGCAAAGTAAGCGGACGAAATAGTTTTAAAAAGTTATCAAAAAGAGATTGCTTTTCGCGTGCTGTACGCGACGACACGCGATATCTCGAGATTACGCGAATTCGTTCATTTCGGCCTGTCGCGTTCCCCGCTGCGAAAGAGGAATTCTTAACGCACGACAGTGAAAGTTTGCCGGAGTCTTGGGAGACTTGGATTCGCCTTCTATACGCGGGATTAGCATATAAATCATTGGCCCGTGAAGACGGTGGGAATCGCATGCACGCACGCGCACGCTCGATTCGTGCGCGTGCATGCAAGGGTATGCATTCGTAAGCATAACTAAAATGTGCCTATAACGTCCATTTCCACCAACGCAGATTTTAACTTTAATCTCGGTTCAACTCGTTTTTAATTTGTTTTCCCTAACTTCTAGAAAAACTAAGCATTAGTAGAAATGGACGTAAAAGCGATCTAAAGTTAAAAATAATTGCGAATTGATATTAAAAATTAATAAGAGAATAAAGACATACATTGCCATGTATATTATTTCTGGGGCTTATGTGAGGACACGTTTCTCTCTTTGTATGTATTTCCGTAACAAATGCATCCTGCAGCATCCTTTTGTATTCCAATACAAACGGTAGTGCCGTATTTGTAATAGAAATGAAACAATTTTGAGGATATAATAGAGACGTTAGAAGAACAAAAGAACGTAGGACCGACCGTCTTTGGCCTCGAGTCCGTCCCTGCGTAAGTAGGGAACAGGCTGTAACTTGTACTTGCCACGTTTCTGCACGTCGCAACGTGCAGCAGCCGTAGCTCCACTTTGCCGCTCTCGTTGTCAGCTGCACTCAGCTGGATACCATCCGCACAACCGACGTATTACGAAGCTCCGCGCTTCGTAATTCACGCCAAGTTTTCAACAAGGGAGAAGACTTGGATAGAAAACGTGATAAAACTGTGCGCGCGTATAACTGTCTGTAGGGATAACTTGTTCAAGTGCAAGACACCGTAAGACGAGAAATGTAGAGTAGCAGCTCGTTGATCTGAGATTTTAAAGCAGATCTGGATACAACGCTGAATATTATAAAAGAATTTCTATGGTATGTGTTGCGCATTATGGTGAGAAATTCGATTTGGTTTCAAGCATAAATCTTACGATGCGTTGCAAGGTAAATCTTTAAATAAGATGGTACATTATATCAGTTTCTGATGCGGAAAATTGCTTTTATCACAAAAGATTAATGATAACATCGTTCACAGAATCGCGTCCGATATATTATATAATATTAAAAGTTACAGTTCCTCTCATTGAAATTTTAAAGTGAAAACATCTAAAGAATTATTTGACTCGTCATCAAAATATAATGCTGATATAAAAAATAATAAACATAAAAATAATTGCGCGTGTTGATTTAATGTTGCGCGTAATACGCAGAGCTGATAATCCAGAATTCTTCTTCGGAAGGGGAGAAAAATGATTCATTGAATTTCTTGTACGCTTCTTGACCGCAAACTGGAGTGAGGCTATTCCCTATCTACGCTACAATCAACCGCTCGCATAGAAACGCAACGGAAACCAGTTTTAAGGGGCATTCACACAGCACGGCCTTCTCTCTCTCGCAGTAGCCCGACGCACTGTCTAAGGACCTTATTAAATCGTTTCGTTTCATTGCTTTGTCGCCATTCACTATATATTACAGTCTTCGGACTGCTCCGTTTTAAACGCGCTCCGAATAATCGGCCACGCAACAGAACACATTTTTCTTCTCACGTAATTTCTTCATTAAACAATAAACAAAATCCAATTAGGAGCTACAAATAAATCGATTTTACATATTTGAAACATTTATTAGATATTAATCAAAGATAACGATAAAAATGGATATGTCGGATTAACGTGAATTGCTCATCGTCAAATCGACATTTATGCTAAAAAACGTAACGATATATAAATATTTCGCCGTGTGCAAAAAATTAAAAATTTTTTAATCAATATTTTAACGCAGATATTTACATTCATTTAGTCATATCAACTTGCTTGAATAAGATGTATAGTTAATATGATTCTTTAACGTAATTTCGTACAACTTTTAAATCGTTGAGAACGATTCTTATATCTGTCAGATAAACGCCTACCGTATTAAGCGTGGGCGTGACGCACAGAGCATGTACTCGGTGTCCTCGGCAATTGACAGACAGCAAAGTGACCGGTGTCGATGAATCAAGTCGATAATACGGTATCTCGATCCTACCCCCTAAGAGTAAAGTAATAAACGCGATGGCCCCCGAGAGCCATTGGTTTCTTTTTTAGAGGGACCTTTAGAAACACATTTAGCTTTCAAGGATGATATAATCGGGAAGCGAGAGCATTGACCAAACGAGTCGTGACGAGTCGTTTTGCTTGCTCAACGGTGTCTACAGAAACAACAATTGGCAGCGTTAGGTCACTATTATACTACCGGACGGCAAATACTTGGTAATCAAATCAGATTCAGCCACGGCGTCACTTATCATTCCAACGCCATTAATTCCATTTACCGTGTAGCCAGCATCGTCGCGCGGTAACTGGCCGGCAACTCCTTGCCGGCTCATACAAGTTCACTCGTATCGAAACAAGGACATTCTAATTTGATTGGCGGAAATGGCAAATCAAGCGATGATCGAACACTGAAATCACGATGATTTCAGAAGAGCGCAGAAATGTGTGTATTTCTCGCGTATCTCCCTCGCGAGGGAAATAATGGGATGTTTCCTCTCGTTGGTTATCTATCCCATCAATAAAAAATGATTGAGCTAAGCAAGGATAAGTTTATACGTAGGCTATCCTCCGCTATCTTAGAAATCACTAAACACACTACGAAAGAAAAATACGACGTTATACGTTTATGTGTCTCATGTAGATATTAACTTTATCTCTTACGCTATATATATATATATGTATATATATATATATATATATATATATATATATATAATTTCTTATATTTTCTTAGAAATCACTAAACACACTACTAAAAAAAAAGACGTCATGCGTTTACGTATATCTCATATAGACATTTAATCTTATCTTACGCTTATTTCTTATATTTTATCGTACTTAGATCAGCTCGAGACTGTTAAAATAAATTCATCTATCATGTTTCAAGAAACTCGATTAAAATATTAAAGCAATGCATACTTAACGATGCACCGGCGTGTTACATCGCGTCGTTAAATCTGATTACGACTTACTGAGGCAATTCCTCGCAATGACCCTCGCGCGACTTAGATATGTGAAAAGATTTCCGACAATAGCCAACTTGCTTGGCACTTTGCACGAGTAGATCGACCCGATAGGTCCCTCGCATTCGTCCTCACGCATTCGGTTGAACCTAGGCGATTTCCGGCGCATGCAATTTCCGGTCGGAGGGTCCATTACGGTCAAAGTAGAGGTACGATGCATTGTCCGAGCATAGCTGCTTCACGACTATTTTCTACTTCGCCTGTTCGAAAACCTGGAATCTATTTCACCGTCGTCGCTTAAGTTTAATAGTGACGTAATTGTTTCTTCACTTCGTCTCGGCTTTAGAGTCGAATATTTTTAAAAGAGAACTTTTCTTGTTTTCTTTTACTCTTAATTTAGAAAGAATGATCAGTTGACGTTAAGCAATATTGGTGAAGGACTCATAAATCAGATCAGAGAACGATTCACGAAATTCTGTGCTGATGTTCTACGCGGCTGATTTTAAGCTTCATCTTCAGGGGTGCATCGCGCTACGCTAAAGCCATTTAATTCAAACGCTTCGCGACACCGTTATCCGGTGGTCGTCGACCCGAAATTACACGTGGAAACAACAATTAACGTTGGCGTACCACGTGTTCGGCCACTGCGCCGAAACAATTTCGGCATGGCGGCAGTTTAGGTGTGCGATTTAACGCTCACGGACCCGTTAATAAGCGGCGGCTTTTCCCGACTAACTCGATTACAAGCCGATCGCGCGATTATGGTCGGGGGAGGCGGCTGAATCTGTTAATGTAAACCGCCGAAAACAATGCGCCGCCGATTAAACCGCGGTTGCGTGCATCTCCGCTGCTGGCCCTTTCTGCAACGGTCTAGCAATGCCACTCCTCTTTCTCTCTCTTTCTCTCTCTGTTCCCCTGCCGTCTCTCTTCTCGCCTCTATACCTCCCTCTCTTTCTCTCGCCACAGTAATCATCTCGAGTGGAGCAAATAAACCTAACAATCGGAACTGGAAAATAACACGTCGCGCGAAATCGCGCGAGAGCGATAGCGGCACTTAGGACGGAAACGATGCCACCAGATACGCGCGCATGTACCACGTCCGCGCTGTACACGTTCGACGACCCCGCTATAGAAATATCAACTTGTGCTAGTTGTGCTGTGTGCAATTATTATTGGAGAATTCAGGGAAACAGAGCCGGGTCTCGAAAAACGAGGGAGCGAGGTGAACGATGACGCGTCGAATTTTACATCGACATCGACGGGGACAATGCGTAACGATGTCCGCCTCGAGGACGGTCGCACCTCCGCGGCCCTTTCATACGCTTCGCTTCTACTTCAGCTGCTTCGGTGGATTAATAAATTGACGGCTCACGTGGTTGCTTAGGACCCAGGGGGACGGCGCGAGGGGGACGGTACAGCGGGGTAAGGGCGTCGCGGTGGGAATTTCGTGCGGACA